GCTTGCTTGCCGCGGCTCCCCCGCGGGGTCTCCAGCCGCCAGCACGTGCTTTGTGCACCTCCCCGAAGCCGGGCAGCCCCAGCTGAACCCTGAGCATCCGAGCTCTGCAGAGGCGAAAGACCCAGCAGCACCGTAGCTCTGCAGTTCATTGGGACGTGATCGATTCTGTCCCGCTGGCTGGCGATGGCCGGCAGCTGCCCCTTCCCCACCGCCTCGCCTAGCACTTCCCCTCCATCTCTCCCCACAGGTGCCTGCTGGCCGCTGACTTAAAATGGCAGGGGGAGCAAAGTAAGTGTCTTTTTTTTTCCTTTTTTTTTTTTTAATTGGGATGGAGCAGGGTGCTGCAGGGCAGGAGCAGAGGGAGAAATCGAGCCCCCCGGCTCCCCCCACCTGCTGCCTCCAGGGGCGGGTACATGAGCTTGCCGTAGTGAGATGGAGCAAGCTGTCACGGGGCCAGCAAAGCACCTTCTCTTTTCTTCTGCGTGTTGGTGCTTTCTCACTTGCCCATAAGACACAGACAGCTAATGCACCCCCTCCTCGATGGTCACACGCTGAGCTCAGGAGCATGACATCCCCCAAGGCGGCCAGACGGGGTGGGTTTGGCTCCGAATTTGCAGGACACCGAGTTCCCCAAGGCCAGGACACCCCGTGCACGCTCTGGCATAGCTCTTGGAGATGCGCCACGCTTGCAGGGAAGCCCTCTGCCTCCTCACCCCGGGGAGATGAACAGCCACCCCCCCTGCCCGCCCCAGGAGTGTGCTGTGCCGCGTACAGCCTCGTCCAGGGCATTCCCAACCAGCCTGTTTGTGTTTCCTCCGCAGGGTGTTCAAGAAGACCAGCCCCAACAGCAAGGTGAGTCCATGCACGCAGAGACGGGACCGCGCGCCCCGTCCCTGGGTACGGGTCAGCCCAAGGCGTGGGCTGTGCCGGTGTGGAGGGGCTGCGGGGCTCCTCCAGGAGGGCTCTGCCTGTGGGATGGGATGCGGGCTGGGTTTCCCTTCCCTTTGAAATCTGATTGATTCCTGCTATACCTGCCACGATACCACCGCAGGGCTTGCTCTTCAAAATAGAAATTAAAAAAAAAAACCCTATATGAATCCTTAAATGCGAAGCCTGGTCCAACGCACTAACGGCAGCGTTAACGAGCCCCCCGACGCCACCCGGGGCTTGAAAATTTCAGCCAGTTCCATGGCAAACACTAACCTGTTTCCTTCTCTCCTTTCACCATGTGCTGCCTCCAGCTATCCATCTACCTGGGGAAGAGAGACTTTGTGGATCACGTGGAGTCGGTGGACATCGTAGGTGAGTGAGGCCGTGCCCACCATGGAGTGGGAAGCACGGGCAGCGAGCAGCCACGGAGACCGGTCCCGGTGCCGGTGGCTGCTCACCTCTGCTTCCCACTGGAGCAGGAGGAGCAAGGGCAGCTCCAGAGGAGCAAATGTCCTGTTTTCTTGCAAATACCCTTACAGAAAAATGGTGGGGAAAGGGACAAAGTCCCTTTGCAAAACAACCCAGCCGTGCTGCTGGGGGAGATGCTGGAGGAGGCATCGCCGTCCCTCTGACCAGGGGCAGCTCCCCTTGGTCACCTTCCCAGCTGATGAGCAGATTATTTGACTTTAAAAAGCGCTGTATTTTTGCAAGGATCTTCCTGGGCGGCCAAGCTCACCGGCCCTTCTTCTCTGCTTGTTTGCAGATGGCGTCTGCCTGATCGACCCTGAGTATCTAAAGGACAGAAAAGGTATTGAGACACGAAACCCCACGTTATCAAGGGGAAGGGATGGAAACCAGTGCAAAGCTCACAAGCAACCTGGGACTGTAGTCAGGTTAAAACTGCAACGGGTTGTCTACAGCTCGTCACACGTCAGGGCCACAGCTGCTGACCCAGAGAGGAAAGCTGCCTCTTTCTTCTCACCTCCTCTGCCTGGGGCACCGGCTCTGAAGCTACCCGTGCCTCACAGAAAGATGTGATGAATCTTGTTAACTTGGCGCTTGAGGTCTGGGTCCTGATAACAGGGCCATATTTCTCCTAAAGAGTTATTAAAGTAGTTTTTCTTCCTTTCCTCTTTTCTCAATCCCTTTCCCCCATGCCATCCCTTTATCGTCTCACCCTTCCCCTAACCCCGCTCCCCTCCGTTTCCATCCGGCTTCAGTGTACGTGACGCTGACTTGCGCATTTCGCTACGGCCGAGATGACCTCGACGTTATCGGGTTGACCTTCAGGAAGGACCTCTATGTCCTGACCACCCAGATCTTCCCGCCAGTGCCGGACCAGGCACCCAAAACCCTCACTCCTTTGCAGGACAAGCTGATGAAGAAGCTCGGGGAGAACGCCTACCCCTTCACCTTTGAGGTAGAGGCTGCTCAGCCCTTCCTGACCGCACACCTCCATGGTGTGCACCAGGGCTCATCTCTGGTCATGCTCTTTATTTACTTTTTTCTCTCTTTCCCGGTTCTGCCCAGATTGCCACCAACTTGCCCTGCTCGGTCACCCTCCAGCCGGGACCAGACGATGTGGGAAAGGTGAGCTGCTGTCCCTGACCCGTGTCCCTTGGACCCGTTCCCCCTGGCAGGGGGTTAAGTTGTGGGGTACCAAAAACGGGAGCTGCTTCTCCTTCATGGGGACGTGGCCTGTGGGGTGAGGGTTGGGGAGGAAGGATGGCTGGAGTCAGGACCAGGATCTCCAGGGATGCAGTGGAGGAAGGAGGGGAATGAACCTAAACCTCAGGCAGCTCTGAGCTCCTCCCGCTTAGTGACCATACGTGTCCCCCCAGGCCTGCGGCGTGGACTTCGAGGTCAAAGGATTTTGTGCTGAAAATCTAGAGGAGAAAATTCACAAGAGGTATTTGCAGGGGATCCCTTTCCTGCCCCATGGCCCTAAAAGCAAACCACCAGATCATTTTGGGGTGGACGGCTTCGGGGTCGGCCCGAGGACCTGCTGTCAGCCTGTGCCACGCTTGGATGGGGTACTTTGCCCAAAGGAGGGGCAGTGGTCCCATCACGTCCTAAGAGCAGGCTGCAGCTTGCATCCTTTGGCTAGAGACACTGTGGTGTCCCTGAAGACAGCTGACGTGTCCCCCTCGAAGGCTGTGTCAACACATCCCTGCCAGGGGGACTGGGGGTGACCGCTTCTCGCCCCACAGGAACTCGGTGCGCCTCATCATCCGCAAGATCCAGTTTGCACCCCTGAAGATGGGGCCACCCCCCAAGTCGGAGACCACCCGGCAGTTCATGATGTCTGACAAGCCCCTGCACCTCGAAGCCTCCCTGGATAAGGAGGTCAGTACAGGGCCTCCCTGGCTCGTGCCACCACGCGCGTCCCCAGGGACGGGGACCGGGATGCCCGGTCACATAACCGAGCCTCTTCCCACTGCAGATCTACTACCACGGAGACCCCATCAACGTGACCGTCAACATCAACAACACTACCAACAAGATTGTGAAAAAAATTAAGATCTCAGGTGAGAGGGGGCGGGAAGGGCATGTCCCGGCGCCCACCACATCCTGGCCTCCCCATCGGAGATGGGGACTGCGCGCCCGTGCCTCTGCCGCGTCACCAATGGTGCACCCTCTTGTCTGTCCTCAGTTGATCAGATCACAGACGTGGTCCTCTATTCGCTGGATAAATACGCGAAGACTGTGTGCACCGAGGAGATAAAGTAAGTAAAAAGGGGCTGGGGGTGGCGTGGCATCGCAGCCAGAGGGAGGAAGAGAAAGGAGGAGGAGGAGGGGAGAGTGATGGGGAGAGGGGGTAGGGAAGACGGTTTTACACCAGGCAGCAAAAATATCAGGGTTAGAAGAGCAGATGCAGAGGAAGCAGAGGAGAGGGAAGGCTGTGGACGCCGTGCCCCCCAGCGCAAGCCAGTGTCGGCTGGGGAGGTCCCTTGGGGAAGGTGCACAGCTGCCCCCCAGCTGCTTCCTCTCCTCTCTTTGCATCTCTGAGGCCAGCCACAGCCTCTGCGCCCCTGAGAACAAGGAGGGCTGCAGCAAAGGCGGGGATTAGAAAAAAAGAAGTGGTTGTATAAGGGAACGAAAGGAGGAAACAGGCCCAGGCAGCTGCGTGGGGAGGGCAGGGCGGGGGGGGTTTGGCTCTGCCCAGGTGCCTGGCGCAATGCTGAGCATCCCTGGTGGGTACTGAGCACCCACCAGGCTGGTGCTGGCTCTGAGTTCTCCTCTCCCACCCCTTCCAGCGAGAATGTGGCGGCCAACTCCACCTTCTCCAAAACGTACTCCATCACCCCCACACTCTCGGCCAACCGTGAGAAGCGAGGCCTCGCTCTCGACGGCAAGCTCAAGCACGAGGACACCAACCTGGCCTCCACCACCATGTAAGAGCCGCGTGGGCTCCCCCCGCTGCCCGCCACGGCTGGCCCCATGCCTTCCCCCCCCTCCAACAGCTTCCCACTGCTTAGGATGCTCTGGGCTCCCACCAAGGGTCCCCCACACCTCCTGTGCCTGAGCCCACCCCATCCAGCTGGAAAATGTAGGGATTTTGTGACATGGCCACAGACCCACCTCTCCATCTTGTAGGAGACGTTAGCCTCCCGGTCTCAACCATCGTCCAAAGCCCCTGTATCCCTCTGCAGAGCTGCATCGGGTCTCGTCTCAGGAGTAAATCCCAGCTCAGGCAGCTCAAGTGGCCTCCCGAAACAGATCTGTGGCTTCAGCCAAGCGACCTGCCCTCCCCTCTCTTTTACTGCCACGTTGCGTTGTCCTCTCCTGCTACACCCCAGTGCACCCCACATGAAATGGGGCACAGAGACAGCCCCGGGAGCTGCTGTGGCAGGAGGGGACAGGGTCTGCGAGCAGCACTGCCCTCCTCACCGCTCCGCTCTGCCTTTCTCCTAGCCTGAGACCTGGCATGGACAAGGAGGTGCTGGGCATCCTGGTGTCCTACAAAGTGAAGGTCAACCTGGTGGTGTCCCGAGGAGGGTGAGGCTCTGCGGGCGCGGGGGGCAGGGACCATCCCCTTGGGCCGTGCTGTGCGATCTTGTACCACCAGGCAGATGACAAAGGGACTCATGCCGTGGATCCCCTTGGCTCTGCTCCGCTCCCCCGGGCCGTGGGGCAGCCAGGCACTGGGCTGCTCTCTGACTCCCACACCTCCATCCCCATTGCCACTGCCTTTCACCCCTATTATAAATTATCTTCTACCTTATTATAAGGCAAAGTCTAACACCTCCCCTCCTCTGCCTTGGCTGATTTCTGTCCCTTCTCTCCCGCTGCCACAGCATCCTGGCGGATCTCAGTTCCAGGTAAGGAGGGAGCTGCCTGTGGGGCTGAGCAGGGTGCGGTGCTGGGCGGGTTTATTGAAAGAAGTGCTTTTCCTTCCAGCGACGTTGGTGTCGAGCTGCCCGTCATCCTGATGCACCCGAAGCCTACGGACAGTAAGTAGCGCCTGGGATGCTGCTGAAACACGGGGGGAGGAAGAGGCAGCCCCCGTTCAGAGGGGAACTGGTAAAAGCAACGCTGATGCAGCCGCCTCCGTGCAAAGGGCCCTGCTCTGCCCCAGCGTCCCTGGCTGTGGGATGGGCAGAGCTGCTCTGGCTACGCGGCAGCCACCCTCTGTCTGGGACCGGCCCTGGGAGCAGCTCTCCTCCCCGCGGCGCCCCGACTGCCACCCATCTCAGTCTCTCTTTCCAGAAAAACACCTGAGCATTAAGAAGAGATGTTAGTTGAAATGTCCTTTCTCTATTAACCTCCATGTGTGTCTCTCTCAATCCTTGCCTCCCTGTGCTTTGGTTATCAATGGACTACAGATAAGCCAAGGTAAAGAGATGTTTCCTTATACCTCAAGCCAGTATTTCCTCTAACACATAAACCATACAGATCCATCGCAGATGGATATGACAGATCCATCACAGAGGGATGTGATGCCCCATTCCAGTTTGAGATTACATCCTTGGATTAAATCATCCAGGCCTCAAAAGTCCTGAGCCCCTGCGTCACAGCAGACAGCATGACACCCTCCATGGCGGCACAGGCAGCAGGACTGCTGTCACAGGCCGGGAGGATTCAACTGCTGGGCTCAGCACACATTCTGCAAATTTCTGGGGCTTATTTTACAACTCCCCTTGCTGCAAACACAGCAGCCTCTCCTGCCGCAAGCCCGGACCTCGCCTTGTCCCTTGGAAGCAGCCGGCAGCGCTGCGTCTCCCAGCCACAAGTGCCACCGCTGGACATAACGTCCCCTACGGCCTCGGTCCCCGTCCACCCCACGCTGAGGTCCCTTGGCTGCTGGAAGCGGCTCCAGTCACAGCCCCGTGCCCCCGCACGCTCCCCAGTGCCAGAGCCCTCTTCTCCTCCCACAACATGAGCTTATTCCAGCTGAAGCCACAGCTGGGGTTGCTTCCCTCCGGGAAGCCGCAGCGTGCCAAACCCATTCCTGGCAGCCGTGCCTGGCAGCCCCGGCCGCCGACCAGCCCCGGCCCTGGCTTGCAAAGCCCCAAAAGGCTGTTTTTGTGTCTGGTTACACCCTGCAACGGGACACGAGCACTGGGGTTTGGAGCCTGGAAACTCGGGCTGCAACTGCAAGGCTTTCACACCAGAGCCTATCAGTTACCCAGCTCAGCGAGGATATTTAAACTTCCAGAGGAGGAAATCTCTTGGCCTGTCCCCACCATCGCTCCCTGTAGATTTTGCCAAGCCGTTTCACATTCGCAAGCTTTTGGAATCAGTTTTGCTGACTCTTTTTTTCCGTTTTCTTCCCCCACTTTTCATTTTGCGGCTCTCCCTTGATGTCATCTGCCACTCGCCTTTCGCAAGGAGGTAACTAATCTCTTTGTCTCCACTTTAATTTCTTTTCCTTCCCTTTTTTCCCTTGACAATGCAAAATATTGTCTTAAAAAATGCCAGAAGTTGCAGGCGAGAGCCCAGCTCCTCTGGTCACGCACGCTCACAGTCGAGCCAGCGATCTGTCCTGGATTTGTGTGGTCGGGTCAGGCCGCGGCTCACAATGACTGTTCCCTGCGGTGTGTGGGGTGACGGGGCCGGGGCGAGCACCGCATTGTCCCCTAGCAGGAGCAGGGTTTGGGTGTCAGCAGGGGTTTCGCCCTCTTCGGTGCGGTGCGTCCCGGGCAGCCGGACCGTGGGCTCACCACGCCCTGCTCTCCCTTCCAGCGAGGAGGACATCGTCATCGAGGAATTCGCTCGCCAAAAACTCAAGGGGGAGAAAGACGACGAAGATGAGAAGGAGGAGGCCGACAAAGAGGAAAGCTAACCTGCTGCCCGCTCGCACAGAGAGCCACCGGTCCCACGCGCCCCGGTTTGGGACGTAGATGCCCGTAGCGCGTTCCCCGCTGTGCCGCACGCGGTGCAGACACCTCAGCCCTCTACGCGCGGTGCGATGTATTCCCCTAGGTGCACCCTCCTCCCCCGGGCTCCTTGCACCGACTCCAAGCCCTGGCTGCGGTGGCGGGGGCCACCCGTTCCCGCCACGCTGGGAACCCCGACTGCGTGCCGGACGGTGCTCCCGCCGCCTTGCGCCCACGGGTGCCGGTGAGGGGACGGGGATGGGGAGGGTGCACCGGAGCCCGGCCGAGCGCCGTCACCAGCGTGTTTGTCGTTTGCCTGCGTTACGCACTACTCTGTGACACCGTTATAAATAAACCCGCCCCAGTGGCCCGGTGCAGGCTCCGTGTCGTGGTGCCGGGGCGCGGGGCCCACCGCGGGGCCG